CTGAAGTACCTAAAACAATAAACTGAAACTGTAAGCCCGATGGCTTAGTGAGCTACCCCCAAAATACCAATACCACCCTGATAATACCATATCCGTAATAATCAATCAATCAACATGCATACTGGGCCATCGGCCTGACTGGACCGCCCTACAGGGCCTACAGTCTATCTGAATCTGTCCCGAGCCTTCGGTATAACTGGACCGCCACGTGGGCCCACAGTCTCCCCAGACCGCTCATAGGGTGTGTTGGCCTTCAGCACAAAGCAGGACCGCCTCAACCCAAGAAACAAGCAAATAACCATGTGCGCATAACTAACATATACTGGTATATACAATATCAAACATATATATCTCACTGATCACCAAACATAGCAATCTCTCATAACTAGAGCACTGACCTAGCAGGTCACTAACATATCAATCCCTATGGATCATAAGAGCATAACATCCTGTCTATCCTGATTCCGATCTACCAGATCATATCCACATGTAGCATACCATAACAATAACAACTAAAGGGCCGGCCTTGGTGCCTTAGACCCTATCGATATAGTGAGGATAACTCACCTTGCAGATGTCGACTCGGTAGATAAACTTCAATCCTCGGATCACTGCCACAAACTCCACCACATATTACCATAGCATAATCATACCCATAAGTTCCCAACCTTTCAAGGTACCCCCAAAAGCCAACTAATCAAAACCCTGGTCAAAGTCAAAGTCATCAGTCAAGGTCAACAGTCCATGTTGACCTTGACTCGCCGAGTACCCTCGGCTACTCGCCGAGTTCCTTGAAGTACTAACCCACTCGCCGCGTCATCTGAGTGACTCGTCGAGTTCCTTTGGTTTATGATCGAGACCCTAAGACCACTCGTCGAGTTTCCTTCTTGTAACTCGACGGTTACACATGCATACATAAATTGGGGCAACCTCAACCGACTCGCCGAGTTGTTCATCCACTCATCGAGTCTACGACGATCTTCATCGGACTCGCTGAGTTGTTCTTCCAACTCGCCGAGTTCATGCCTATCTTCATATGACTCGCCGAGTCCCTTCAGTCCTTTTTGCCATACAGACTTATTTGAGCCATGCAGCGGCTCCAAACTACAGATCCAAGCTTCTAAGGCATGCTTTTCACGTAAAGTTGCAAACTTTACGTGCATGCATAACTATAAAGGCTCTTAATGTCAAATCCAAGCTCTCAATGGGAGTTTCATACTCAAAGAGGCTTCATACATGACCAAATTCGGAGCTTTATGACTCTAGTACTCAAGAAGGGTACAGATCTGAAGTTACAACTTCAGATCTAGCTCATATACCACATTACCATCTCAACTAAACCATAAAAACCCTAGATCACAACCAAAAGAGGTCTAGAAAGAAAAGGGAGAAAAGGTGACGGCTTGATACCTCCAAATGATGCTATCTGAGGTAGATTTCTGATTTCCCACACTTCCTTGCTCCTAGCCTTTTGTTCCCCAAGCTCCTCTTCTCAAAAGATCTCCTCTCAAAAGCTTTACAAACACAAAAATGGAACACCACAAGAATTAGGGTTTTCTGAGCTCTCAAAGGATTGCAAAGAGGCCAAAGGAGGCTTATGTTTCCTTAAATAGGGTGCAAAACCCCAAGGTTTAGGGTTTCCTTTGCCAGCTCCTACTCGTCGAGTCCCTTCATGGACTCGGCGAGTAGGTCACTAAACACGCATACCAAGCCCGTTGCTACTCGACGAGTAGGGCAACCAACTCGGTGAGTAGGCCTTGAAACCAATTAAATTCTTATTTAAACAATACCTGGGAATCGGGGCATTACAATATATATGTATATATTGAAAACCATGTTGAAATAAGTTAATACAAGTCAACACAAGTCAAAGAAGTAAATCAAAAAGCATGAATTACACCTCACCATAGTGATTTCGGTTTTAGGAATCTAGAAACATTGGGTCTTCGGTTTTGTGGGGACCAAAACATTATGCTAGGACCGAAATCTCAATGCCTTGGACCACTTGGACTGAAATCCTTTCTTTGGATAAAGTTAAGGCCGGAATCACTAACCTATGGACCACCAAAACCGAAATCATCATTTTGTGAGTGTGTATAAGGGATGTCAGTCATGCTAGGACCAAAATCACTCTCTTTAGGACCGAAATCCCCTTAAATATCATGATATGTTGCCACTTGATTGGTTGAAATTGCTTTCCCAAGGTGATAAGTGCACATACCAAGGTAAACCTCAACTCACTGTCAACTCATTATCTCTTAATACCCTTATTTATAATGCACAAATTAGATACCACAAGAATAGTCATTCACAGTTATCACACGTCACAAATTCAAACTCTCCCATATTGAGTTTTCTCTCTATTTTCCAAACCTTCCAAGTTCTTCATCAATATTTTCCACGAAGCCATTGATCAACATTGTTCCTTAGTATTTGGTAAGTATTTTAATATATAACCTAGTGTTTCACATTCTTTAATACTAGTTCCTTTTTATTCACACATTCTTATGTATTAAAAACTCTTAGGATTCAACCATTTTCAAGTGTTCGTAACTTAAAGATCTTCACCGTCACCTTGTTATCAAACCGAAACCATACATAAGGTGAGTTCATACCCCTACATTTTTCAAGACTTTTCCTATGTTTTAGGGGGGGGGGGGGATACAAGTAACACACAAGAATATTTACGTTAAAACGCAAACATTTAAATACGTTATTTTACCATTTTTACGAAAAGTGTTAAATACGCGAAAGGACTTTACTACCAACCTCGTATATTTTTATATACTACGTTTTGACAAAAACGTAAAGATACGAAAAACGGTTACAAAAATACATTTTCATTATTTCTTTATAAATATATATATAACTATATATATTTTGAGTACAAAACATTCATTTCATTAAAACTTTATAAATATAGTTACGAAACTTTACCCCCTTTGTAACCCGTTGAGCAATGGGTAAAATTATATAAAGTGCATATATGATTGTTTTATGGCATTTTCGATATTATCCTGGAAATAGGGGATAATTTCATTTACAAACGTTTTCATTTCAAAAAACACATACACTCGTTGAATAAATTTGTTAGACATTGTCTTCATCGTACCTAACTGAGGTATACACGAACGTCCTGTATCTATAACCGGAATCTCCGATACGAGAGCGTGATACTTGTGTATAGATCTATACGAGACTAATGATCCCACACCCTGGTTGTTAGCTACAGCCAGACCGGAAGGTTTGGGTGACAAATGTCATAAATATCTAGGTGCCTGAAGAACGATTAGGCAGGCACTGCGTCATAAAAGCACGGATTTAAAAACTCACATGGGGAAACGACTATACGTACATTTTACACGAAAACACATTTCTTCAAACGGTTTTATACATGAATAAAACTACATATTACTACCTTAAGTATGGAAAACACTGGTACATTTCGGTCTTGGAACAATTAAGACTACAACTCATTGCTATAGAAAATATTGGATTTTCTGGAATAATCATCATCATTTTATGAGTGAACGACTTACATCTCATTTATTAGAAAATATCGGATTTTCTGGAAACAAAAACGATATCTTTTCACGGAAAGGCTTACTATTTTTCATAAAAATTCTTATGAACTTGCCAACTTAATTGTTGACACTTTTTCAAACAACTTGTATGCTCAGGGAATCAGTAAAACATGTAACCACCAACTTTTGAGGATGGGACGCTAAGGCATCAAACAAATCATTTTGACATCATATTGTAATTGACTTTTGAAACATGTAATAGTTACAATGATGTAACTTTTTCAATTATATATATGATGGTTGTGTTTGCTTTCTTTACTATTACTCAATTGTTATTATACAATACATGAAAGTCATCCACCCACTACTAGAAAAACAGCCTTTTATGACGCGCAAATAATGACACACGCTGATAGAGGACGCTCATTTGTGCGTGCCCTAAAAATTAATGTCAATTTTCCAAAATTTGAAGGATAGAGGACACGCATTTGTGCATGCCCTAAAATTAGTGTCAAACAAAACAAAATTAAAACCTGGAAGACGCTTATTTTAAGTGTGTGTCATCTACAAATGTCGCTTTATATTTTTTTTTTAACTAAACGTGCATTTTTAAAGAGGGATCTCTAAAATTCTAAAAATTTGAATACCCCGCTTCTGCATTCTCTCCTCTGGATCGCCTTATCTCTCGTAAAATCGCACAGATCCATTCTCTCCCTCCTCTCTCTCTCTCTCTCTCTCTAACCCTAGACACAACCACTGACCTTCGTCGGAGCTATCTTCTTCTCCCCCGCCGCTACCAACAAACCACAACCTTATTCATTACCCTAAAAACCAGACTAATCTTTCACCTCTCATAATCCCTCTCATAACACTTAGGTTTTTGGCAATGAAAAAATCAACCCCCTACTCCTTTGACGTGTTCTAATTTCTTACTGTATCTAGGTTAAAATCAACCATTGCAGCAGAGCATCTTTTCGTGTAGTGTTTAGATGGAAAGGAAATCCCCAAAAATTTGAAACCCCGCATCTTCTCCTTCCCTTCATATCCTTCTTTGCCCTAATCTTGCTTCTTGACGCCATCATCTTCTTTCTCCCCACATCGACTGTTAGCTTTATATTTCCCATTCCCAATTATTAATACCCTATTTCTATTTAATTGGAAATATTTGCCCTTCAGTCTAGACGTCTACTTTTCCTCCTTAGACAATGATTACAACAATGTTGGATGAAGCTGCTCGCCACCTGTACATATCCCTTTGCTGCCACCTCCTCATGTCACCGACTTTCCCCATTGGCTACATATTTTGTCCAGTTGAATTGAAGGCTAAAGGTATTGATTTATTTATTCATATCATGCTTCAAATTAACACTTCATGCTTGGATTCTAATTGACTCTCTTTTTTCTTTTAGGTTTTTGTTGCGCAGCTCTATTCTTTGATATCCAAGACTTCTTGATTCACATACATCTCGAAACAAGATGGTTTTGCCAAACAATGTTGATCTACTTAATCCCCCGGCTGAGTTGGAGAAGAGGAAGCATAAGCTCAAACGACTTGTTCAATCTCCGAACTCTTTCTTCATGGATGTCAAGTTCCAGGGTTGTTTCAACATAACAACCATATTCAGCCACTCTCAAACGGTGGTGGTGTGCGGAAACTGTCAGACGGTGTTGTGCCATCCGACTGGTGGTCATGCAAGACTCACTGAAGGATGTTCTTTTAGAAGGAAGGAAGACTGATCCAATTGCTTGCTTTTATGGCTGGTTAATCAGAAGCTGCTTTGGTGCTATTACTTAAAAAATTACAAGTTGAGTCTTTTATTCTATTTTTTCTTGTTGGACCCCAACTATCATCTTTTAAAATTAGGGCTTGTGTTTGAATCATTTCATTGAATGACAGGTGAATCAGACCGTCTTCTCACTGTTAAGCTTCTATTAGGTATAGATTTTTAAAAGTTTCTCTGAATTTTTTGTTGGTGACTGGTGGTATCGGATCCAAGAATGGATTTTTAAACATCCATGTTCATGTGTATGTTTTCATAAAGCATATTTTGCTATGTTTATCAGTTGGTTTCTTTTGCCTATCATGTCAGTTACTGTTAAGGATTGACTGTAATAGAAAGGTACTGGAATGATGTATGTGATCAATAAGTGCAAACATTTGTTCAAAGAAAACACATACATATCAAAGTAAGAATTGATTTTCGTGAGATTATTTTAGTATTTGTCAAGGTTTTCATAGCAAGCTGAATGTTTATAGTATCACATTTGTATTGATAATTTGATGTATGCATATATAATTGTAATACATGTAACATTACATCTGTTAATATACATGACGTGAAAGAGGTAACAATGTACTTTTGGGTCCTGATGCAGGGGTATTTTAGTCAAGTGCATAGTTGGCAGAGATTGAATTTGTATGTTTGTAAATTTCTGACTTCGATCATGAATGCTATGGACGGTACTTGGATCTTTTATCATCAGAAGATGGTTATATAAACTTTTTAGTATAGGGCATTTTGGTCAAACTTGGAAACTAACATACATAAGCCTACTTTCTGGTTGTTGTTGTTCTATTGGATAAGTTATCTGGTGGTTTTCCTTTTTCAACATTTTAGGCCAGGTATCTTCAAGATGCTCGTCTTGCTATTTTCGAGGTCTCGTCTGCTCGTCTTGCTGTTTCCGAGGTCTCGTCTGCTCGTCTTGTTGTTTCCGAGGTCTCGTCGGCATCTTCCAGACTCCAGAAGTCTCTCTAGCTCTCTCGTATGTATTCGCTCTCTTCAAAAATTTAAATGCATATGTGTTAAAGTGACAGCCACATGATTTTGTATTCCGTATTTACTTTTGAACTTTGTTATCTCAATGGTTAAAAGATATAGAAAGACTTTTAATTCTTTTGTCTTTTTGTATCTCTACAAATGGAAGCAAAATTCATTTAATAATCTTAATATATGTTTTATTTATTTATTTATTATTTTCTTAGTTATCGATAATAATATTTATTAACTTTTAATTAGTTTTTAGGCTAATTATTATAGATGATAACATAGTTAGTCATATATATAACTAAACTCTAAAGGAAAGAGTGAATGAGTAAATGTTGCAATAAAAATATGTGAAGGTGCACCAAATATGAAGTTAATATAAATACAAAATTTCATATTTAATAGTCTTGTTTCTATATTTTTTTTTATCTTTCTATGTTTCTATAATAATTTAATGGGTTATGCTTGGATTTTGGTAACATAAACATGTAATAGTTAGAAATTAAAAACAAAGTTATATTATTAATTGTCATTTGTTATTTCCGTTAAAAGTTTGTTTTCGGCCCCCTAGTTTTAATTTTTGTGTTCCGCCCCTGTTGGTGGTGGATTACCAACAAAAGAAAAGATATTTGCCACTTCATCTTCTTCCAATAAAGATGATGATGTACCTCTAATTTAGGTGACATGATTTTTTACCCTTTTTTTTCTATTATCTAAGCATGTTATTGCTTCCATAGTATTATTTGTGTAAACATAGGTCCCACCATCTATTACACACTCTTGAGATTTTGGGGTATTCCCTGTCCAAACTATATCCATGATCAGTTCAAATTTAAGTCCTTGTTTATATTCTATAAGGCAGTACGACCACCACCATAAATGCATATAGGGGATAAGGTTTTTTTAATTATTTTTGTTCGTATTTTGTATCCTGCTTTCTTCAATATTTTCATATTGTTTGTTTTTGTTTATATTTACAGCTTACATATCTATTTCATTTTTAAAGCTTTTGATTTTTCAGTTTCAGGATTGTTATATCGATCTGATGTTAAAGGGCTATAACCTTCACTTTTTCATATTTATTTGTTACTCAAACATCATTTGAAGGTACTTCCCCTATTCTTGAATTTATAACTGTAAGTTTCTTTGGATTTTTGCCAAATCATTTGAAGGTACTTCCCCTATTCTTAAATTTTAAAATATATGGATCTGATGAAGAGTGCTTATATGAATTCACTTTGAAGGTGCTTCCCCTGTTCTTGAAGCTTTAAGTGTTATTCACTTAGTTTAAGAGGTTGGCAGCAGGAATATGGCAGAAACTTTGGTAAAAACTTTATTTTGTTTTAATTTTTGTAATATAGATTTATAATTTTATGTATATGTCATGAATTTATAAAGAATTTTCGTCCAGCTAAATGAAAAGTTATTACCTTTTTGGGAGTTTACTAAAAGTAAATAGATTTTCTTATGTGTTAGTCTATTCAGGGCACAAGAATTGGGTTCTCTGTGTTGCATGGTCACGAGATGGCAAACATCTAGTAAGTGGAAGCAAGTCTAGAGAAATCCAAATCTGGGACCCATGGACAGGAAAAGCTTCTGGCAATCTGCTTACTGTAATTATATTCTCTCTTTATCCATCTGTCAATCTTGTTATTTGATTACTTTATATGCTCTCATATCACCTTAATACATAAAATTTCAGTGACACTGAAGATCTAGATTCCTTTTTTTGGTAAGTTCCATGTAGTGAATATGATGGATGTTATCATATGCTCTCTTTATCCATCTGTCAATCTTGTGTTGGTAAGCTCTAGATTCCCAAAATGAAAGCTTATGTCAGTGACACTGAAGACCTTAAACAAGACCTTAATTATCAAGAAACTTAGGATAACATGATAATCAATTGAAGCCAGAAGATGGAAGAAGTCAGAAAATGAAAGAAGTCGTGCAGAGCAACTATTACATATCTTGAAACAAATCGATCACATTGTTTCTACAGAAGTAACAAAGATCCATATTTCAAAAATAGTTTGTGTTTTATGCTTGTTGTTATTTGGATTAGGAAGATTTGTTTTTCTAGTTTGACTCATGTTAATAAAATAACAATTACATGTGATTTATCATGAATATTAGTACTATTATTTCTTGAAATGGATTGTTTTGTTACATAAGTATTTTATTTTGCATTATGAGACTTTTAAATGTGTAATTTAAATTTGAAATTTAGTAAATCTATCAAAAATCTATATATTTTTAAGACCTTTAAAATTATGACACGCAAAAATGTGTGTCATCTTTCTTTATGACACGGGCTTTAATGATACGCAATGCGAGTCGTAAAAGCGCGTCGTAAGGTTACGACACGCAAATGCGTGACGTGTTCTTTATGACACGGCCTTCCTTGACACGCATTGCGTGTCATAAGCGCGCGTCGTAAATAGACGACGCACAAAAGCGTGTCGTCTTCCTTTATGACATGGCCTTCCTTGACAAGCATTTGCGCGTCGTCTGAGTATTTTACGACACACATTGCGCCAAGTAAGAGGGTGCGGCGCATCCCTGAGGTGAGAAACAAGTTACGTAAATTGAATAGTCACAACATCGTACTTTGTAGAAACATGGAGTGATGGCTTTCAGACGCGGGCCCCCTGAAAGTAGGTTACTAAAATATTATGAATACAACTGAGGCTTGGGGCGCCTATCGGTGCAGTACATAAATTAGACAGTTTAATTAGTCGTTCTTAGAAATGAATTTTTCTCTTAAAACAGATTCTAAGGTGCGATTTACACACATAACAGTAGGAAATTGATTTGGGCAAAGGGGTGGATTCGATTAATGTAACATCTCAAAAATCATAACAATTTTAAACTTTTCAAAACAGCCCATTTACTAAAAAGAAGTGTTTACAAAACCATTGTTTCCAAAACATTATTTAAAATCAGAGTCTCCCAAGATCAACAACATGAAACCAAGGATATGTACAGTCACGCCTTCGCTTTGCGACGGTCCTCCGAAGTACCAGAAACAAAACTAAAACTGTAAGCCAACACTTAGTGAGTTTCCTCAAAGTACCACCACATAAACATAACAAACAACAACATGTATATAGAGCCTTCAACATGACTAGACCGCCTCACTGGGCCTTCAGCCTATCTGGAGCGCTGTCCGGGCCTTCGACATAACTGGTCCGCCTTGCAGGCCTTCAGTCTATCCGGACAGCCCTGGGTATCTTGGCCTTCAGGACAAAACAGGACCGCCTCAACCTAATATACCATCACATATCAACATATATAACATATACCATAACAATCAATAGCTAGCATATACATGTAGTCATACAGATCTAACAAATCACCACAACATAACAACATCCTATATACCAGGATACAGATCTAACAGATCACTACAGCATAGCAACATACGGTAAACCAGTATATCAATCTAATGGGCCGGCATTGGTGCCTTTGACCCGTAAGTACAGTGAGGAAAGACTCATATCACAGTCTGAATGCGGTCTGTATAACTCCTGTCTCCGACAACCAGCTCAACCCAAATCCTAAATGTCAAAACATTTCCCATTCTAAATTAATAGCATTTCCCCAAAATACCCTTGGTCAAAACTGATCAAAATCAACAAGTCAACCCAACCGAGTCAACTCAAGGCTCGTACGTGGGGCGTACTCGAGCTTTGACCGCAGTCGGGTGATTGATCACGTACGCGTTGTGTACTCCAGGTTACACATGGCCTATGCGTAGACTTCCTATTTTCTCAACAAGAGCTTAATGCATTAAGCTCTCACGTCTAACTTTCAGATCCAAGGCAAAAATACCACTAAGAGTCCTAAAGTTTCCAACTTTATTACTGTGCATGTCCATTAAGTGCTTAATACACAAAATCCCAACTTCTTAAGCTTTATGACCTTCTAGAACATGCATGGAGGAAAACTAAGCACCAAGACCACATTTTTATGACTTAAGACCCCTCATAAGGTCTGAAAGGACGACCTATTTGGTCAAAAGCATGCCATGCTCAAGAATCACCATATTTGGGACCAAAAGTGCCATAAATGAAGAAATGGCTAGATCTACAAGGTAGAGTGATAAAGTAAAGAACTTTTTACCTCCTGGAGGTTGCTAGCAAGTGGAGAATCCTAAATATAAGTTTCTTCCAAGCTTCAAGGTCCTTGCACCAACTTATCCTTCTTCAAGAACACCAACAAGGCACACAATTGAGCTCAAAACACTCTTCTCACTTAGGGTTTGCTAGAGGTTCGAATTCTCAGATGGAGGCTAATGAGGAATGATAAATGAGGCTATAACGATGCTTATATATGGACCAAATTCTAAAAATTAGGGTTTGGAGTTTCTCCACGTTCGCCCTACGTATGCAGTGTATGCCAAGCGTACTAGGGTCCGCCCTAGTACGCTCCGCGTACACAACATACGCACATCATACTACCCCATTGTCCAAAATCACCAAAATGCCATTATGGGCCATTTTGCACTCTTTCTTATACTCAAGGACTAAAATGCAATATTTAATCATACATAGGGTTAAAATTGAAAATACCTCAACACCGGGATGTTAAAATTAACTTGTTAATCCATCAAACCAAGGTAAATCATCCCTTATTATTCCCTTAGATTGTGTTTTGTAGATGAAATTTGGGGGGGGGGGGGGGTTTGATATAAAACATAGGTGAATCCGAAAATTAAAAAATAGGATTCATGTTTGATGAGATAAATAATTTATTTGGCTTAAATATCATATATATAAGTGATTGTAGTCATGAATTGGTGAAGTTGTGATAAACCTTAATTCAGTTTACTCATATATAATGAAATTAATTCTAGAAATTAATGAATTAAGTGATTTAGAGTAGCCTAACATGGTGTAAAACTTGTATTGGTTGAATTGATAGACTATATTTGGAAGTTTGATATAATTATGCATTGGGGGATGGTACCATGTACATAAATAGATTGTATT